TCATTCATTACACTCGTTACATACTCGTGTGGGAAAGTGAAATTCAACCTCGGGGACAAGATTCACTGTCTAAAGCCTCGTCCTAGACCGTAAATCCTGTCCCCTTGGTGGAATTTCACTATCCCACACTCGTAGTAATGAATGATTCTATTAGTCTTCTAATTTGGTATTTGCGACTAATAATGATTAGTGAATCTGTAAATGATTATTTTTTTTAAAGGCGATTTTTACAATTTAAATTTGTATCGGTACAATAAATCAGTTATAGTATATCATTGAGGGAGTTAGCAAGATTCCTTCCCCTCGACCTCGCGCTGCGCCTTGGGAAATAGTCCTGGTCTTGGGAAACTGGAATCTTGCTAACTCCCTCAATGATACACTTAAACTGTATACTGTAAATTAACTATATTCGTAAGTGAGAAATATAAGTGAATTCAATGCGCAGATACATTCTTGCGAATTTACAAATTAAACAAATAATAAGGATTTATATATATTTATAAATGGACAGGAATGAAGAAAAAATCGGATATCAGTTACTGTGAACCATTTTCTGTCTGCAAGTTTAAAACAGTTGTGAATTTAATGCGCCTTCTTTTATTAATAAATAATGAATATGCAGAGATTTTAGTGAGGGTTTAATTTTGGCAGTCTTGGCGAGAATGTTGAGATAGGTAAAATAAAATAAATTCACAATTTTAAATGATGTTATTCTTTTTCATGTGCTATTAAAATTTCGCTTTAACTACTTCTCTATGAGATTAAATACTAATTTTTAAGGACAGATTGCTAAATGTGTGTCTCGCTAATCTTTTCATTCATATGGTACATATCAACGTGAATTATTTTATAGTAATACTCTTTTTCGTAGAATATTTCTTAGTAAGCGATGGAAATCGTCAGGGAATGGAATTTAAAATGACATTTATTTCCTTTTTTTTGCAAATAATAATTGGTTTAGAGTTAAAATGGTCTTTAAAAGTAGTTGTTTGATTACCAGCCGTTCCAGAGGCTTTTCCCAATGTAATGGTGTATTTTTGAAGTTCGGATGCTATTTTCATGTTGTCACATCTTTCATACCACGAACTCCCATTAACGCTTGATACACCAATATGAAATAGCGTTCTGTGTGGTGTTGTCAAACGATGAAGGATCTCATTTCCTTTAGAATAAAAAGAACAATATTTGTATCGTGTATTCATGTAAGTAATGTTCATATATTGCCCATCATATCAAAGGGTTTCTATCCTTCATTAAATCAATTCTGCGTGTTTTATCAATAAAACTTTTAATAAACGAAATATTTTATCAAAAAAATCTGTAGAATCCAGGAGTTACCTAGAAATTTCAAAAAACATAAAATAAACATTGGCAATATTGTCCCATAAAATACCAAAACTGATGATCCATCTGTACATGTATGCAATTCAAGGAACCCTAGTTGGAAAATTCAAATGTTTCTCGGGAAAATCCCTACCATAGTTGAAGTACGTCAAGATAGTTGCAATATAGCAAATCAAATCCACAGCAAAATGATTTTGATGCATACGAAGTGTTGCACTATAAATTACAACAAAATCAAACAATTCAAACAGCAAAATGTTTTTTAATCTGTATAATATGTATTTTACACTCAACACAATCCATATTCAGACGAAATTTCAAATAATTTTCTCAACGTTTTAATCGCTTTTGATTTACAGGTAATATTGACATTCGGAGCTCTCTGGAATATTTGTTCTCAATGCATTGAATTTAAATAATTGCCGGTGTTATTCTCATTACAGTGAAAATACATGCAACAAATTATCTCTTTTAACCAGGTCAGGAAGACAATATAAGTTTAACGAAAGAACATTCTTTCTAAACCTACAAAATCTAATTTTCATTCGTTGGTGTACAACAGTGACAGACTTTATGTTTCATTACGAAAGACAGTTCAAAATACTTTTATGTAAAAAATTAAAAGGTATAATAAATTGAAATCAAAGGTATAACAGAACGTTCGTTGACTTAGTTCTCGAGCAAAATGCGTTTTGTCTCGAATCAAACTGTCTGCCTTCAGACTAACGGCCTCAGGCAGACCGTTTGGTCCTTGGGTTCGACAAAAAGCATGTTGTCCTCGAACACAATTAATGTATAATATAAATAATGGCGAAAACAATTAGTATTAAAAATTTCAGTCAGCAGTTGACTGAAATATAGATTGTACCTGCTGACATTTAGGTCATTGTGTCGACCAAAGAACTTACGAAATTGTGGCTTTAAACGAGACTGCTGATATTCTTGTTTCATCTACTTATTTGTCAATAATTTACCTCAATTTAATTAATTTTGACTTTTGTTTTGATTTGATTGATTTGAATATTTTATATTTATCTTTTTATTTCAATATTTTTGTTTAAAGCAATTATTCAATGCATTTACAGGAACTGAGTTCTAACCTGTGCGTTTACGTATTGCATGGGGTGGGTTTATTAATGTTACTCATGTTTCCTTTGAATTGGTTGAAATATAAGGAAAAATATTGAAATTGTATTGAGTTCATTTACATGTAATACATTGATGAGGACTCAGCGGAGTTAAGGACCAATATGGAAAATAAGATATAAGCACCTTTTTAATATGTATTACTTCTTTTCAAAATTGTAACAAAGTAATCGAATAACTGTAGAAAATGTAATATAGCTATCCGTAATGGATAGGGCTGAGCCGTACACAGTACCCATTATATCTCATGTATCAGCTGTTTGTCACGTGACTTGTATAAAGATAGAATTGTTAAGCTGAATGTAGGAAATGAGGATAATACAAGGGCATACTTTTGTTTTTGAAGATAAAAATTGATACAATTAAAAGATGTTTCTTTCCTCTACTCTCAAAATGCTGAGAGTTAGTCCGTTGTGTTTGGTTGGTGCTGAAAGTTTTGCTGAAAGAGCATACAATAGCATTAAATTTCAATTTCACTTAAATTCTTTTATTGATATAAAATACAAGTTTATGCAGTTTCGAGTTCGAGTTCTGCTATTCTTCTACTTTATGGTTTCAGTATGGCTAACATCGAAAGAAAAAGAAGCGCACCAAGTAGTTTTAATAAGGAAAACTTGTATGAATGTCATGGCTCTGCAAATCAACTTAATCAATTGATCAGCAGTACACCAATCATTCTTAAACTTACCTAACCAGAATTCACCATGTACATCACCAAACCCGTTTTTATATTCCTCCCAATCTCTAGAAAAATTCACAGATAAGGGATGACGCCATTGAAATACCTATGACAGAAAAAATATCATGAAGAAATAACGTCGTATTTCTGAAACTCGTCAATATGTAAAAATGTACGTTTTGAAAGATAAAAGAGGGCAACTGCATGATGCTGTGTATTCCATGAAATTTTATCTGTGTGCAGGTATATACATGTAAGTCAATTTTCTATCTAAACTGAGATACAGCAATAGTGAATTTTTGCTTATCTGAATATGAACAGCAAAGTTGGCGAAAAGGCAAGTTAAGATCTTCTGTACCGTCCATCCTTTTGGGTCCACATCCATGTTACAGAGTACGTCTATGGACTTTCCACTAGATCCCCAGGGATAAATCTGGTATACGCCCGTTATATTATATCCATTATGTAGGATTTCCCAGCAATCGAATGGAAACGAATCTAAAACATATTATTATACCTCATTATAAATATTCGAAGCAACGCGATATCTGATTGGTTCTAAGTTATCACGTGATTGGGCCGTAAAACTTCATATTTCCCGGCCGTCGGCACGCTTTTCATCATATTCCACCTCTTCGGAACACCTAATGTATTTTCTCGCAATATAATTCCCGTTCGTTGACTGAAAACTCACGAGAGAAGTAGACGTCACAATGGCCTGGTTTACGTCAAAAAATTGATGATAATGTGTTAAACAAGGGGTTTTGTAGTTACTTTACGTAAAAAATGAAAGCGAATTTGAGAGCGGTGCAAATTTGAAAGTTTTTATTTATTTCAAAGGTTTTGCTTGTTTCGGTATAATAAACAATTCATTGCATGATAGTGAGGGAAACATGAAGATTTCTTCAACCAAGAAATATCATATTCCCCTCGGGCAGAGCCCTTGGGGAATATGATTTTTCTTGGCTGAATAAGTCTTCATATTTCCCTCACTATCATGCAATAAATCTATAATATTAGATCACTGACTTATCGACACAGAGGAATTGAAATGCTATCATGAAAAAAACGCTATTGAAGGAATTTTTTTTTCTTTCTTTACATACTAAAAATGGATGTACCGAGAAGAGGGAGGGATTCTCTTTGCACACGTTCCGAAATAATTTGTCAGTTAACCCATTCCAGTACAAATTGCAGTTGTGATCCCTACATATATACTTAACAATATTAATACCAAATCTAACACACGGTTTGCCTCTGATAATACTGTGGTTACATCATTAATTTTGGAACAGCAACATTCCTGGTTTTAGTTGTTAAGTCTATCCACGAAATTAAAGGTGCAAGTTAAGAGTCTATATTAAGATTTACATTATAATAAAGACATCCAGATTTAGTTATATCGTTAATACATACCCCTCCAACAGTATTCGCATATTTTTTACTTGTCAAGGATATTAAGATACATAATTAAGTTTGAATTAAAGATTAATTGAATTTGAACGGCAACTATATAACTACGATATTAGTTTGTATGGTAACTATATAACTACGGATACTGTAATAGTTTGTACGGTAATTATGTGAATACGATAGAAGTTTGTACGCTAACTATAAAACTGCGGTAGTAGTTTATACATGTATAATTACGGAAGTAATTTGTACGGTAACTATATAATTTATAAGTATACATTTGAGTGCTGTCGTAGTTGTTTTTATAGTAGTCGCTGTTGTAGTAGTCGTTGTAGTAGTAGTTGTTTTATTAGTAGTTGCTGTAGACGTTGTTGAAGGAATTGTTGCAGTAGTCGTTGCAAGAGTTTTCGTTCGTGTCGTTGATGGTGAATAATTACCTATATTTTTGTTACAGTGAGATTTACTGGTACATTGATAATCATTTGCAAATTCATAAAGAGCAATCGTCGATAAAATCTTTCCAAAGAAATATGAATTAAAGTCAGCAATAATCATAAGGCATACATTCTAGGTTACATAGATCTGAATTGCAACATCTCAGACAACGTTCAGTTGTTCTCTTTCCGAAAATGTTTGGACTACCACTGTCACAAATCTAAAGGAATGAAATAAATAACATTTACATCAATCATTAAGCTAAATATTTGGGAAATATTCACTACTTTCAACTCTTGTATATGCCTGGAAAGGTTTATATATTTTTACTTATTCACCTCATTTGATTAGCGGATTAGGATTGGGATTTGCATAATAATGAAAAGAAGCTTAGTGTCTTGTTCACTTTTGCCCTGCTCTTAGTCTACTGCAATAGATTTGTATCCTAATATTTCGTAATACACATATATTCTTATTTTGAATTTCAATTGACTTTTGTGACCAACCTGTAAATAGGGGCCTTGTTTTGAAATGTATTAACACTAACAGAGAGTGCTGCTTCATTAACGACCCTCTCAAAATGTTTTTGGACATTGAGAAAAAATACTTTTTAAAGGTGTTAATATTAAGCTTCTTTAATTGATTATTTCTATAAAGTACATGGCATTTACCCCCAGGAAATGTAATCAAACACAACACAATATAAGTGAATAGAGGTCACTGTTGTTTAAATCCATGATGGTTATCCCTATTTCCTTTATTTGAGTATTCTGAAATCTACGAATGGACTTTTAGGAGAAGCAACTACTTCTACAGTTCACGGATTACTTGGACATTTAAACGTGTATAATGTACGGAGATACAGAATTGATAACACATGTACATAAGAAAACCTTTCTAGTGGTCATCATAGATATGGTGTTACGGGCACTGGCAGGTGAAGGCCGGGAATTGAGGGTAGGTTGGTTGTCGTTTTCTTAAGAAATGAACAACAATGTTGAAGAGTTGATAAATGAACTTTTAGTTGGTCACACTACTGGCTTTTAAAACCCCTGTCCGTATGAAAATCCACTGTCTTTCTCTGTATCCTACAGCATTTTCACAGTAATCTACGGTATATCTACAGTATGCTACGGTATGCTAGCTCTGTATATACAGTAAATCTCTGTATGCCACTGTATGTATTCCCAGCATGCCACAGTTACATACAGTAGGCCCCGATACGCCTACAGTATGCCACTGTATGGCTACTGTTTCCTACAGACAACTACGGTAAACCCCAGTATATGCCCCAGTACGCCCCTGTTTATGTTCTTTGAAGCAAAAGGAAGAAGTTTACACACTCCCAGAGCACTGTACGGTTACCTAAGATGTGGGATTATCAATTTAGTACACAGAGTTACTTACCTAAGAAATTTTTGAACACTCTTTTAAACACTTAGTAGTATTTTTTTTTAATTAGTTAGGAAACTTATTGTGTTTTTTTATAATAACTCTATAATAACTATGAAAAATTAATAAATCATTTCTTCAATGAATATCTATCTATTAATTTTTAAAATTAATTATCTAATTATTCTTTGAATTGATTTATTAGTTAATTAATTAATTTATTTATTTTGCAAACACCTATTTAATCTATAAAATACTTGGAGTGACTTTGTAACTTTTGAAAAAAAAAAAAAAAAAAAAGCACGGCCGGGGTAATGCTGCATTTTGGAAAATATTAGTTTTTAAAATAAATATAGTTTCTTTGAAAAAATAAATATAATTAATTAACGGCATAAAATTAATCATTGTAATCACAGTGAGATTTACTGGTACATTGATAATCATTTGCAAATTCATAAAGAGCAATCGTCGATAAAATCTTTCCAAAGAAATATGAATTAAAGTCAGCAATAATCATAAGGCATACATTCTAGGTTACATAGATCTGAATTGCAACATCTCAGACAACGTTCAGTTGTTCTCTTTCCGAAAATGTTTGGACTACCACTGTCACAAATCTAAAGGAATGAAATAAATAACATTTACATCAATCATTAAGCTAAATATTTGGGAAATATTCACTACTTTCAACTCTTGTATATGCCTGGAAAGGTTTATATATTTTTACTTATTCACCTCATTTGATTAGCGGATTAGGATTGGGATTTGCATAATAATGAAAAGAAGCTTAGTGTCTTGTTCACTTTTGCCCTGCTCTTAGTCTACTGCAATAGATTTGTATCCTAATATTTCGTAATACACATATATTCTTATTTTGAATTTCAATTGACTTTTGTGACCAACCTGTAAATAGGGGCCTTGTTTTGAAATGTATTAACACTAACAGAGAGTGCTGCTTCATTAACGACCCTCTCAAAATGTTTTTGGACATTGAGAAAAAATACTTTTTAAAGGTGTTAATATTAAGCTTCTTTAATTGATTATTTCTATAAAGTACATGGCATTTACCCCCAGGAAATGTAATCAAACACAACACAATATAAGTGAATAGAGGTCACTGTTGTTTAAATCCATGATGGTTATCCCTATTTCCTTTATTTGAGTATTCTGAAATCTACGAATGGACTTTTAGGAGAAGCAACTACTTCTACAGTTCACGGATTACTTGGACATTTAAACGTGTATAATGTACGGAGATACAGAATTGATAACACATGTACATAAGAAAACCTTTCTAGTGGTCATCATAGATATGGTGTTACGGGCACTGGCAGGTGAAGGCCGGGAATTGAGGGTAGGTTGGTTGTCGTTTTCTTAAGAAATGAACAACAATGTTGAAGAGTTGATAAATGAACTTTTAGTTGGTCACACTACTGGCTTTTAAAACCCCTGTCCGTATGAAAATCCACTGTCTTTCTCTGTATCCTACAGCATTTTCACAGTAATCTACGGTATATCTACAGTATGCTACGGTATGCTAGCTCTGTATATACAGTAAATCTCTGTATGCCACTGTATGTATTCCCAGCATGCCACAGTTACATACAGTAGGCCCCGATACGCCTACAGTATGCCACTGTATGGCTACTGTTTCCTACAGACAACTACGGTAAACCCCAGTATATGCCCCAGTACGCCCCTGTTTATGTTCTTTGAAGCAAAAGGAAGAAGTTTACACACTCCCAGAGCACTGTACGGTTACCTAAGATGTGGGATTATCAATTTAGTACACAGAGTTACTTACCTAAGAAATTTTTGAACACTCTTTTAAACACTTAGTAGTATTTTTTTTTAATTAGTTAGGAAACTTATTGTGTTTTTTTATAATAACTCTATAATAACTATGAAAAATTAATAAATCATTTCTTCAATGAATATCTATCTATTAATTTTTAAAATTAATTATCTAATTATTCTTTGAATTGATTTATTAGTTAATTAATTAATTTATTTATTTTGCAAACACCTATTTAATCTATAAAATACTTGGAGTGACTTTGTAACTTTTGAAAAAAAAAAAAAAAAGCACGGCCGGGGTAATGCTGCATTTTGGAAAATATTAGTTTTTAAAATAAATATAGTTTCTTTGAAAAAATAAATATAATTAATTAACGGCATAAAATTAATCATTGTAATCACAGTGAGATTTACTGGTACATTGATAATCATTTGCAAATTCATAAAGAGCAATCGTCGATAAAATCTTTCCAAAGAAATATGAATTAAAGTCAGCAATAATCATAAGGCATACATTCTAGGTTACATAGATCTGAATTGCAACATCTCAGACAACGTTCAGTTGTTCTCTTTCCGAAAATGTTTGGACTACCACTGTCACAAATCTAAAGGAATGAAATAAATAACATTTACATCAATCATTAAGCTAAATATTTGGGAAATATTCACTACTTTCAACTCTTGTATATGCCTGGAAAGGTTTATATATTTTTACTTATTCACCTCATTTGATTAGCGGATTAGGATTGGGATTTGCATAATAATGAAAAGAAGCTTAGTGTCTTGTTCACTTTTGCCCTGCTCTTAGTCTACTGCAATAGATTTGTATCCTAATATTTCGTAATACACATATATTCTTATTTTGAATTTCAATTGACTTTTGTGACCAACCTGTAAATAGGGGCCTTGTTTTGAAATGTATTAACACTAACAGAGAGTGCTGCTTCATTAACGACCCTCTCAAAATGTTTTTGGACATTGAGAAAAAATACTTTTTAAAGGTGTTAATATTAAGCTTCTTTAATTGATTATTTCTATAAAGTACATGGCATTTACCCCCAGGAAATGTAATCAAACACAACACAATATAAGTGAATAGAGGTCACTGTTGTTTAAATCCATGATGGTTATCCCTATTTCCTTTATTTGAGTATTCTGAAATCTACGAATGGACTTTTAGGAGAAGCAACTACTTCTACAGTTCACGGATTACTTGGACATTTAAACGTGTATAATGTACGGAGATACAGAATTGATAACACATGTACATAAGAAAACCTTTCTAGTGGTCATCATAGATATGGTGTTACGGGCACTGGCAGGTGAAGGCCGGGAATTGAGGGTAGGTTGGTTGTCGTTTTCTTAAGAAATGAACAACAATGTTGAAGAGTTGATAAATGAACTTTTAGTTGGTCACACTACTGGCTTTTAAAACCCCTGTCCGTATGAAAATCCACTGTCTTTCTCTGTATCCTACAGCATTTTCACAGTAATCTACGGTATATCTACAGTATGCTACGGTATGCTAGCTCTGTATATACAGTAAATCTCTGTATGCCACTGTATGTATTCCCAGCATGCCACAGTTACATACAGTAGGCCCCGATACGCCTACAGTATGCCACTGTATGGCTACTGTTTCCTACAGACAACTACGGTAAACCCCAGTATATGCCCCAGTACGCCCCTGTTTATGTTCTTTGAAGCAAAAGGAAGAAGTTTACACACTCCCAGAGCACTGTACGGTTACCTAAGATGTGGGATTATCAATTTAGTACACAGAGTTACTTACCTAAGAAATTTTTGAACACTCTTTTAAACACTTAGTAGTATTTTTTTTTAATTAGTTAGGAAACTTATTGTGTTTTTTTATAATAACTCTATAATAACTATGAAAAATTAATAAATCATTTCTTCAATGAATATCTATCTATTAATTTTTAAAATTAATTATCTAATTATTCTTTGAATTGATTTATTAGTTAATTAATTAATTTATTTATTTTGCAAACACCTATTTAATCTATAAAATACTTGGAGTGACTTTGTAACTTTTGAAAAAAAAAAAAAAAAAAGCACGGCCGGGGTAATGCTGCATTTTGGAAAATATTAGTTTTTAAAATAAATATAGTTTCTTTGAAAAAATAAATATAACTAGATGCTGTCATGAGACAGTAATACCCGCACTATGGTGTTTGCCTCTAAATGCACACTTCTTCATATTGGGCTTTACCAAGGAAAAAGTCAATAACGCATTCCAAAATCAAAACAGAAAATCTTTTTTTCTGTTTTAAGCATTTTGCCCTTAGGTATTGACAAAACTCAACAAATAACACAGTTTACAAGATATTTATTGATGCAAATACTAAAAGTTAAAAGAACGCAAGTCATCGTTTACATAGCTAGTTTTATGGAGTAAATTTCCTCCCAAAAACTATCACTGAAACAGCTTTCACTACCACATTACAATTTGAAAAAGACAAACATCTACAGGGTAAATTTCCTCTCAAAAATGACTCTGATACAGTTAACATTCAGTAGTCAATTCAAAAGCGACTATCCATGATTAAACAAAATTTTACGGAGTAAATTTCCTCCCAAAGAATATCACTACAACAATTACAATTTGAAAATAGCAAAAATCTAGAGAGTAAATTTCCTCTCTAAATGCACATTGGTGCATTGTACATTCAGTATTTCAATGCCAAATCAACCATCG